TCTCCCGGAGCAGAGGTGGCGCATGCGCAGATCGCCATACGCCCTCTCACTACAACCATGTCAGCCAGCGGGGTGAGTACGAGGTATCGTCTTGAAATATCGTTATTTATTTAACTGATCGCAGTGTTAACGATGGATTAATCATACTGCCAAGGTTCTTTGTTGACCCAGTATCGATTATATACAGTTTTCCTTGGCGATGTGTTAGTAATAGTATCGATAATCGCCGCATTGTCAGAGGCCGGTACAGCTGGTTCCGTAGGTGAAAGCTTTGATCGAACCGGAAGGTGCACATGCCATTTGTTGGAATTTGTTTCGTTGTCATGTTACCTTTGATAGAAGGGAACATTCACAACTAGAAGGTAAAGCAAATAAAGGTTTGAAAACTAATAATCATGGTTACCGGTATCAACATATATGTTTTATGTGACATTTTTTACATGGTAATTAAATATTTTGTGTGCATTATGCGATCCATACATTTAGTTGTATTATACTGTTAGTGCTAGATTGTGAAAGGTTTACAAGAATGTGTAAAGCTTGTGTTGATCAGGGGCCTCCCATATGGTTGCAGATGGACTTCGTGAATTAAGTGAATTTAATTTCAAGTTCAAAAGCTCTTTCCTGAACCATTTCTCCATCTCAATGGATAATGTGCATAATACGCATATGTGAAAAATATGATTAGGAAGTACTGTAAGTCGAATTGCATCTGTAGAACAAAATGTATTGCAGATGAAAGACCACTCTTTCAGCACATTGTAACAAGTCATGCTTTTTTAACAATTTAAACGAGGCAATCTCCATACAGGAGGGCAATCCCATAGAAATTGTGGTCCCTGTATTCTGAACTTGGGCAAAGGCCTAAGTAACTTACATGTGCAAGACTTGGATTTGTTCATTAACATGCCCCCAGGGAGGTCTGCAAATTCAGAGTACATGAAGGGTTAAATGCCATGGCCCCTGCCAAGAATCTGGTGAACAGAAGGCAGGTTCAACTTGCCCTCTGTTCACCACATACTTAGCAGGCCCTTTCTCTGCCCAAACTTTCATGTCCAAAACAGATGGTATATATTTTTCCCATTTCAAATTTTATCAATATTTTATCTTGGTTTGATACTTCTGCTTATGCATATTATTTGCCAGCTGAAAACCACACCACCATTGTACAGCTAAACACTAGATTCTTCTAAGATTCCATCCGCAATCTGAATTGCTGGTTTCAAATAACTTTTCATTATAGGGATCTTGTGTATACGAGGAATGAGTTGGTTATTTAGTATATCCATATTTTAAATAAGATGAGCAATTTAATCTGGGTGGTGCTTTATAGCAGATAATTGTTTTTTCGCAGCTGCTATACCAGTTTGACTCTTGCTCTTTAAGATAGTGGTGCCCATATCTGTGCATTACTCTAAGTTTAATCGTTAATTACAAAATTTTCACACGTCTGAGTACTGTTTATTCTCCCAGTGTACAATTGGTGAGGGACTTGCAAAATGATCCGGTAATTGGCTTGCTTTTGTGATGCATTTTCATTTTAGAATTGCTCAGGAAATTCCTTAGAGAAAAGTCTCTTTTCATAAGGTAACTTTCACATACTCAATTTAGCGTGAAATTTTGAGTCCTCCATAGAAACTTTGCGCGATAACTTTCACATTCAGGCGTGTGCTCCTCCATACAAGTCTCTTTTAGAATTGCTCAGGAAATTCCTTAGAGAAAAGTCTCTTTTCATAAGGTAACTTTCACATACTCAATTTAGCGTGAAATTTTGAGTCCTCCATAGAAACTTTGCGCGGTAATTTTCTATATTACCTCCGCCTCTCCGAGATCGACGGTTTTGGTATCGTTGGATTCCTCTCACTCTATACAATGCAAATATATAGTTTTTATTGCGCGGAAACCCCCCGTTAGCGAAAACTTGGCCCCAATAGCAGAGGAGGGCATGGAAGGTTCCAGGGAAAATGCGGGGTTGAATAACACCAATAATATAACCAATAGTGAAAATAACCATGGTTATTCACATACCCCCTGCAACCCCCGCCGAGGAAACAAAACCTCCACCACGTATTCCCGGCAGGCTAGAGCGTTATAAAATGATCGTCGATCTCGGAGCGACGGACGTATTACATTTACCTTGTAACATTCCCACTGAATCGGCATACTAACTTTGACATAGTCACCATTGTATACAGATGTGATTGCATTATATTCAGGATGAACAAGGTATACCATGAACAGAAGAGTGGCGGTGGCCCGCCCTCGTCGGGTCGGCGGGCTTTGCACCTTTTTCGATGCATCTAGTTCGTGTGCGCTCTATCCTGTCGTGAATACTTGGGGGATATTTTGTTTCCTCGGCGGGGGTTTGGGGGGGGGCAGCCCCCCTCAGGGGGGAAAGTCATGTTAATAATCATGGTTATTTTCACTATGGGTTTTATTATTAGTGTTATTCAACCCTGCATTTTCCCTGGAACCTTCCATGCCCTTCCCTGCTATCGGGGCCAAGTTTGTCACTAACGGAGGGTTTCCGCGCAATAAAAACTATATATTTGCAATGTGGACGGTGAGAGAAATCCAACGATACCAAAATCGTCGATATCGGAGAGGTGGAGGTAATATAGAAAATTACCAACTTTGCCAGTAATTCTTCATGGACACTCCCTGACTTCATGTCAAAAGATTTATTCATAAGTCTGTTTCCATGACTGGGCGTAGCTTTCTGGCATCAACTCATAGGGGAGGGTCGATGGGGGGCTTTGTACCCCCAATACCCCTGGGAAACATTCAGCTGGCTTAAAATTGTGCAAGGCCTGACCCAATGAATATCCATAATGTGGACATTTTATATACACAAATAAATGCATAACTATCAGTTTTAACATGCATATCTAAAGGACAGATAAAGGTTTGTCTAACAGATACGCATTTATTTCTGTGCAAGTGCCTGTCGATATCTGCGAATGTTCATTGGGTCAGCCTCACATTTTAAAACTGGCCAATTGGTATGCATGGAAAGATTGAGCTGAATCTTGGGAGCACCAAGTGGATATAGGCTCACTGGAGCTTTCTGAATCTTTCTTTATTTTTGCATTACAATTCATGTCTGCAGATTATTTCTTGTACCAATTACGGCAAAAATATATTCAATTTGCAGAAGTAGTAAGCCTAAGAACAACTATCATGGCTTGATATTTGAGCACAAGTGCCCCAAATGCAGGAAAAAATTAACCAAGTAAACCCAGTAATTTAGACAAGCGATGAAAAGTTCAGGTGTTAACACTAAAGATGAATGGATTTTAGCGAGCATATTATTTGGAGAACAAAAGTATTTGGTTTAGTGAAATATCCTCCATCCACTTCTGATCGTTTACCCTAGGGGTTCAGGGGGGCACAATCCCAAGCTAAAGAATAAGTAAAACGTATTGTGTAAAACCCTTAGGGTTCAGGGGAGCATAGCCCCATAGCTAGGGAATATGTAATTTAAAGTATGTAAATCCTACAGATGGTCAGTTCCAGTAGATTTTACTGAAAATGGGTTATTTCCTATTTTCAAAAGTTGGCATGTCTGTTTCATTAGCTGATATTTTTACCCCAGTATTTCCGTAATATACTTCATGCCCTCCTCTCCTATTGAGACTTGTCACATAAAGGTTATTGGTTGCAATTATGTTGGAAAGTATCACATTTGCTCTCATCACATGAGAAAAAATCTGATAATATACTGTCCAGGAAAGCCCAGTTGTCATAATCAAATAAATGTTACTGAGGGCAATGCAGTGATGGAGGGAAATGGACGCTATCTTATTGATGGTTAGGAAGGTCTTTGATTTGTGTGAAGTTTGTTGAACTAAGTAACAGGGATTTCATAAACAATTACTATAAACTACTGCATCTATGGTATCCAGCATTTGACTAATTCGTTTACTCCTTTGAAGTGTTCTCATACTGCTTTGTAGCACTATGGCGTCAAACAAAGGAAAAATTAATCCAATTGAAATACGACTCCACTCCCTTTGTGGGTTTGGAATAACCAAACGATTGGACAGCATTATGAATTAGAAGTCTTAGTGGATAGTCAGGTAAACAAGTTGAAAATTTAGAAACTGAAGGATTTGGTCTATACAAGTTAATTTCCAGCAGTGGATAATACAACTGTAAAGTGATAAGATATGATTTTTATTGTCAAGTTTGGATGTTTAGATGATCACACCCTACAGAGACTGTCTCTATTACTCCTGCCAACAACACACCATGTAAAACATAGATCGTGTCCTCTGACCTTTCTCTGGACTTTCTCTACATGGCACTTGTCAAAATGTCCCTCTCGCCTTCCCTTTTTCTCCCTCCCACCCTCTCTGGGAGGGCCCCTTGCCCCTCTCCCCTTCCCTTTCTATTCCTCCTCCCTCTCTAGGGGGGGCTCTCCCTTCCCTTTTTATCTCCCTCCTCCCTCTCTGGGGGGGCCTCTTGCCCCTCCCTTCCCTCCCTCCTCTCTGGGGGGGGGGGGCTTGCCTTCTCCTTCCCTTTTTCTCCTCCTCTCTGGGGGGGGCCTTGCCCCCTTTCCCCTTTTTTCTCCATCTTCTCCCCCTTACCATCCCTCCTCTCTGGCCCCTTGTGGGCCCCCCCCCTTTTTTTTTTTTCCCTTCCTCCTTCTCTCTATGCCCCCCCTTTTTTTTTTTTTCTTCCTTCTCCTCCTCTCTATGGGGGGCCCCTCTCCCCTTTTTTCCCCTCCCCTCTATGGCTCCCTCTATGGGCCCCTCTCCCCTTTTCCTCCTCCCTCCCTTCTGGGGCCCCTCCCCTCCCCTCCTCCCTCCCTCTCTGGGCCCCTCGCCTCCCTCTCTATCCCTCCTCCTCTCTGGGGCCCCCTCCCTCCCTCCCCCTCCCCTCTTCTCTCCCCTCCTTTTCTCCCTCCTCCTCTCTGGCCCTCCCTCCTTTTCTCCCTCCCTCCCCTCTGGGCCCCCGCCTTTTCTCCTCCCTCCTCTCTGGGGCCCCCCCTCCCCTCCCCTTTTCTCCCTTCCTTCTCTGGGGCCCCCCCTTTTTCTCCCTCCTCCTCTCTGGGCCCCCTTCCCTCCCCTTTTTCTCCCTCTCCCTCTCTGGCCCCTTTTCTCTCCTTTTTTCCTCTCCCTCTTCTTCTCCTCATGTGGGTGTAGGGGGAGGTTATGAAAACCACTATTCCATTTGGAAATTTAGATCTTCCCATTTATTGTATGGCACAAGGAATGCCATATGTCTTTATTATATAGTTTTCAGGTAAATTGCTGTCATTTTTTAGTTTGACAGACATTGAAAATGCTGAAACAATAATTGATTTTAGTATTTACTTTTGCAAAATTCCTGGAATTAATATAAAGAAAATCTTAACTACAGCAAGATGGTGAGGGTATAGAATAGTTTAAGAAAACTGAAAATGGTACACAAGGGACAAATATTGAAGGGGAAAAAAAACTTTAGAATTGCAAGATGGTTCAGTGAGAAATTTGGGCATTTTAGACATCTTTATACAGTTATCACTTTCTTTTTAGTTAATATTTTGTTGAAAATTGAAAGTACTTAATCCTGTGATAGCAAAGTTCTATTTAGTTGCAAATAATTAGGTTATTGTTTGCAATACAATTGCACTCCAGAGAATTTTGCTGTTACTCCAGCCATCAACCTTGGGAAGGGGGGATGCACAGCTGGAAATTACAAACCTTGACATATGGACCAAAAACATATTATAGCTTAGCCTCTGCACTTCTACATATTCACTAGTGTAGTTTTTTCTTGATGGCATCCCTAGGTTTTCCCTTTCAGAGAGGTCATTATGTAAATGTTTGGCAGTTTTCCACTTCATGGCAGTGTTTACTTATACAAGCTCCCCTGGAATTGTAAAGGCATCATTTCTTTGGGTGTTTAGTAAACTTATTGGTCATCTTGTATGGAAGACCATGTATATATCAATAGAAATGTCCAATTAATATTATATATATATATATATAATTATTTATTATTATTATTTATTTTATATTCATTTTACTCCTTTTCATAGTGTATTGCCTATTAAAAACTATGGAATAATGAAGGCTGTAATCAAGTTCCTTGAATGAAAGTGTGTGGATGTATTGCATGATTTCTAATGGGACACTAGAAATTTAACCCCCTGGATCCAGTTGTAATGGGTAACACAAATGGCCAGAATCCCGGGGGTGCAGTGCATATGCCGGGCGCGTACGAACACCCATGAGCGGTGATAAGACTCTGCCTCCCCTTTGAGAAGTTTTGTGAAAACTTTTTTGGCTTTGCCATTTTCCATTGTCCATATTTTTTTTATTTGCTTTATCCAGATGGTAATTTCTTATTTTCCTTGTACACTCCATATCATCTATGTAGTAAAGAAATAGCTCAGTGCAAGAAAAAAAATACATGGAACATTTGATGATTTGTCATCTTTTTTTTATATTTTCAATTTTATGTAATACAACATGCACCACCGGTCAGTGGCCAGGAATACAGTGCACAGCATGGAAATGCCATCCCCCCAGGAGCTGGTGCTCTTCTAGTCACTGCTTATGCATGTTATATTCCACATTCTTTTAATGATAGAAATAATGCTAAAGTCCCCTTCTAAGCGCCAAATGAGTCAAATCACACTCAGAGGTTTGTGCACTCATGGCGAGTCTTTTCCATCACTCTGGCCTTCACACTTAATGCTTTGTTCTTGTCACCTGTTTTTCTGCTGCCCAAGTTTTTCCTTGATGTGATCGCAACGTCATCCGGATCCAAGGGGTTAATAAGGAATATTTATTTTTAAAGACATTCCTGTTTTAAGTTGACTAATAAGCAGTTGTTCTTTTCCTCCCTTGCAGACGCTGTACACTTACCCTGAGAACTTCAGGGCCTTCAAGGCCCTGATCGCTGCTCAGTACAGTGGTGCCAAAGTAACTGTAGACAGCAGCTTTGTCTTTGGGGAAACCAACAAGTCTGATGCCTTCCTGAAGAAGTTCCCTCTTGGCAAGGTAAGGCTGCTTTGAAAATGAAGAGGAAGGCCCTATTGAAATCTTGTATTTGACCTAGAAATAATTTTGCAGAGATCAACTCATTCATGATTAGTAAAGTTTTGAATGAAAGATAGGTAGGGCTAAGCATGTTAAGCATTCATTGATCTCCACATGAGCAGGTCTAGCTCACAGCTGGGTTCCTAAGGTGGCATCATGTTTACATCTATTATGGTAAAGGATTTTGTGATGATTGGCTAGACCAGATTAAGACTTTCCTCAGCCTGATTGGGTTCAGAGTAGCAGTGTACTAGATAAGTCCACTTTATGGAATATTGGTCATACTTTATGTAGGTCGAAGTATGGCAGTTTGTGAATTTGCAATGAATTATTGACTTATTCCAGAAAAATTCCTTATAACCTTGCAGGTTCCAGCCTTTGAGTCTACTGATGGCAAATGCATTTTTGAGAGCAATGCCATTGCTTGGGCAGTGGCTAATGAGCAGCTCCGTGGAAAGACTCCCATGGACCAGGCTCAGGTGGTCTCCTGGATGAACTTTGCTGGTATGTAGTATAGTAATTTATGAAGTGCATATAGCTTATGTAAAGCACTACATTCTAATCCCTCACAATGTCAGAAATGTTTGAATTGACCATATTTACTTATTTGCATTTTAATTTTGCAGATAATGAAATCCTGCCAGCATCATGCACCTGGGTATTCCCATGCCTTGGTATTATGCAGTTCAACAAAGGTAACACTGAGCGTGCTAAGGAAGACATTAAGAAAGCTCTTGCTGCTCTGAACTCCCACCTTTTGTCCCGTACCTACCTGGTGGGTGAACGCATATCCCTGGCTGACATCACTGTATGTTGCACCCTTCTCCATCTCTACCAGGTGAGTAAATTATAGATTACATGTGTGTAGTACTTAAATGATTCATACTGAAAATTTGTTTCTAGAATTCTTTTTAGCTTCTAAAGTGAAAGGAAAATGAAATTACCCCTTTGTAAGTGTTCCTGAGTGTTTTAATGTATCATGAGGGGTCAAACAAAGGGCAAAGAAATTCTTCTCCTACGATTCCCCACCTACTACTTGGGTGCTGTGAATAACCAGTTGAAGATACAAAATCCAGTTGTTAAAAAATTTCAAAATTAAGGTTGCCCTACTAGTTGTATTAACCCTTTATGCTAAAATACATGACATTTTACAGTATGTGCTGGAACCCTCCTTCCGCAAGCCTTATCAGAATGCCAACCGTTGGTTCACCACTATGGTTAACCAGCCTCAGGTAAAATCTGTTATTGGTGAATTCAAGCTCTGCGATAAGATGGCACAGTTTGATAACAAGAAGTTTGCTGAAGTCCAGAGCAAGTTGAAGCAAGGTGGAGGTGACAAGAAGGTAAGTTTTCTATTCTGCAAGTATTTGTAGTTTAGTGTATCAAGGCTGAAAAATTTATTCAACAAAAATACATGGAGACTTTAAGTATTGTGAATAGGTATAACATGCATTTTATTAGCCATTGAGAATGTAACGGCTTGCATTTTGGCAACATCTATTCTACCCTCTGATAGTGTTCCCAATTGTTTTATAGAACATGAGGGGTCAAACAGAGGGGAAAGGAATTCTCCTCTGAGTCACTGCTTGGTTATCAAGTTGTGAGAACCAGTAGAAGAAACATTATCAAATTTTTTGTAAATGCTACTTGTCCTACATAAGAAATTAGCTAAAAACAAGGCATAATTGCTAGATTTTTCTATATTACAAATGTCTTTGTAGAAGGAGTCCAAGAAGGAGGCAAAGAAGGAACAACCCAAGGAGAAGAAGGAAAAGGAGTCATCCCCTCCTGCAGCTGCCCCTGCACCTGCCCCCAAGCCCAAGGATCCCTTGGATGCCCTCCCTGCAGGGTGAGTTGGTTTTCAGAATTTTGACTTGCTCGGAGCAGCTGCTACTTGAATGATAGCTTCTGAAATAGTAAGGAAATAATTTTACAAGCATATGGCACATCATGGGAAGGTTTAGTCTACATTGTATTTTGACAATGCATACTTGAAATCTTGAAATCTGAAGGTGCTCTGCTGTATCATTTAGAACATTAGTATTGTGTAAATAGGTGTAGTGGCTTGGATAGCAGTTTTGTAGAAAATCCATTTGATTTTAGGTTGCTTGGGAGTTGTGCCCAGCAAGGGGATGGACCACCCTGCGAGAGTGGAAGTGGGATTTGTGATACTACTCCAGTGCTTCCTGTGATAAACGAGGTGTTCCTCAAGCACATGGAAGATCTTCCTAATATGGTTTTCTTTGATATAGAGACAACTGGTTTAGATTTAGATTGTGATATTGTACAGCTTTCTGCTGCAGTCAGGGATCAAACATTCAATCAGTATGTTTTGCCAAGTAAACCAATAATGCAACAGGCTGCTGAAGTAACTGGTTTAACTTTAAAAGATGGTGTACTGCATTTGAAGGGGAAGAAAATAGAAAGTGTTGGGGCAAAAGATGCTTACCAGCATTTTCTGTGTTGGTTAAAGCCTTTTGCTCCATTAGTATTGGTTGCTCATAATTGTTACAATTTCGATTCTAAGAGGTTGGTTAATTCAATGGAAAAGCATGGAGTTGAACCTGCCTTGCGTGAGGTTGTCACTGGATTTCTGGACACCTTGCCTCTCTTCAGACATGTTCTTCCTAATCTAACAAACCACAAGCAGGAAACTATAGTTCGTGCTGTACTTCATGAAACCTACAATGCACATGATGCACTTCAAGATGTAAAATCACTTCAAAGAGTGGTTAATATTTTAAATTTACCTGCTGCTACTTTGAAAACTTTCTCTTTTACTTATGGGTCTTTAAAGGAGAAAATGGAGTACAGTAGAACAGCAAAATTGAAATCTAAAACCCTAAAACCTCTCACTGGACCAAACTACATATCCGAGTATATAGCAGACAAACTAGGTAAAGCAGGTGTTGATTTCGAGCTTCTAAAGTCGTTTTATTTGAGAGGAGGGAAAGACTTCTTATTTGAAGTATTTGGTAAGCCACAGGGACCAGACCAACCTCAAGCCAGACTGAGTGCAAATACTATTAATAGTATTTGTGAGTATTTTTCAATAGTGTATGCAAAAGGTGCTCAAGCAGGTGTGGGGGTGTAGGTGAAAGAATCAGTTGCATGCAAATGATGTATTTTCATTTTTATATTTATCCCCCCTCACTCATCCACAGGCCATGTGCAAAATTCTAAATTTTGAACATGTTCTTGTGTATACACAAGTTTAAGCTTTAAATCTTGTAGTTTAAAAAAGTTCTATGAAGTTGTGCATTATGCAAGTGGAGCAATTGAGTTTTTCTTATTGGATAAACATCCAAGATTAAAGATAAGCATCCCGACAGGAGGTTGGGATCTTTTACTTGACTAATTGCTCCATTTTGCACATCATTTTGAACTTGGTATCTGTATTTGCTCTTTTGTTTTTATATTGTTCCTGTATAAAGTTGAAATTCTTTAGTTTTGTATATAATAAATTAAAATTGTTTCACTATTATGTAGGGTTTGAGATTTGTACAAATATATGCATTTGTACAGGTACTAGTTTCTTTCAACTGCCCTGGGTTTTGTAGATTTGACTTTTTGGTTAGTATTTCTTTGCCCTTGTTTTAGTTGATTACAAAGTATGATTATAGAGCACTGGGTTTGATTTAAAAATCTGAAAGATTATTCATGTATTTGTTGTTCTGGGAAGTGTTTATAAATCTGAACAATGTTGGAACAGCCAACGGCTTTTATAGTAAGCATGTAAAAATACTTGACTTTGACTACAAAGTGTGTTTTGTTAATTTTTCTGAACTATGAACTGGTGTGTGTTCATACAAAAATAGTTTATAAATTCTGATATATTCAGACAACCCAACTTCCTGAAACCAGTGTATAATTACTTGCATTTTTAAAATTTTTGTCCTCATTTCTTTTGTTCAATTTCAGAAACTTCAACTTGGATGACTTCAAGAGGTTCTATTCTAACAACGATGAAGATAAGTCTGTGCCTTACTTCTGGGAAAAGTTTGACAAAGATCATTATTCCATCTGGTACTGTGAATACAAGTAAGTAAATCCAACAATCTTGTACGTTATTAAATTAAGTAGGAAAATTTCTTTAGAAATGTGTTAGTATACCTTCCTTGTATCTGATGATTAATTGGTTTGTCATAATTGCTCTGATTAACATTTAAGAAATTAGTTGAAGCTGTAGCACACTTTTGTGTTTTTTATTGATTATTCATTTGTAAGAAATTGTAATTTATTACATTCATTAATATTTGTTATATATATATATATATAATCTAAGGTTAATCTTTATAATGATTACACAGGAAAGTAACTAGTGCTTTTCATTTTATTTTGGCAAATGTCTGGTACAAATAACTGCTTAATTCTGACAAAGGCAAAACTTGTTGCTGGTAAATCAACATTGAATCTATTATAATTTGTAATTTATTTTTGTAAGAATAAGTTTCCTCCATGATATGATTTTAGAGTTGGAGTAGACAAAACCTAATGCAAAATGCTTTCAAATTTTTATTATCTGGGAAGATCAAATCTTAGTCCTTGATATAACTCCAAAATAAAAGTAATTGCAGTGTGCTTTCACATGGATACTGCTTGGGTAGCCTGTCAGAATGTTCCAAGTCATTTATTGGGAAACAAGTCATAAAATTGAAATATGCTTCAGAATTCTAATCGCCTTAGTTGAGGGACTATTTATGCTGCTTAGATTAAAATAATAGCTTTCATTACCGACTTGGCTGGTAGAAAGTCCTCTATACACAATAGGTTAATCAAAGTTGATTTATAATTTCCTTGGTTCATATACACATTTTCCGAAGCCTGTAGCTTGGCTTAATGTGTGTTTGGGAAGTATTAATAAAATGTATTGCGTAACAGAAAAATAGTAAATTCCCGATACAATTCTACAATACTATGTAGAAGTTGGTGACTAATAAAAACCTTTATTTTTCAGATATGCTGATGAACTCAGCAAGGTTTTCATGACCTGCAATCTTATTGGTGGTAAGTTGAATTGCTAAGATTAGAATTTCGTAACATGACTTGCAAAACTTTCTTTGAGCATTCTTTTTGTGAATTAATTTACACTAGTGTAAGTTCCATATGCCTTTGCAATACCAATTACTTCATTCACATCTCCCTCCCTCAGGAATGTTCCAGCGTGTGGATAAGCTCCGCAAGAATGCCTTTGCCTCCATGTGTGTGTTTGGTGAAGACAAGGCCAATAATATTTCTGGCATTTGGGTCTGGAGGGGACAGGAGTTGGCCTTCCCTGTAAGTGTTCATTTCAGTGAATTTAGATGTGCTGATTGGTAGTGTTTGTTCCCAGCTGTTCAAGATAAACAAATGATTTAAATCAAACCTCTCGGTGAAAGGTGTAGCGTCTTATTTGCTTTCTATTTTCAGCTCTGTGATGACTGGACCGTCGACTACGAGTCCTATGACTGGAAGAAGCTTGACCCTACTTCAGAGGAAACCAAGAAGCTAGTTGACCAGTACTTCAAGTGGATTGGGGAGGACAACAAGGGCCGCAAATTTAACCAGGGCAAGATCTTCAAATAATTCTAAACCTACACAAATGTTATATCCTACTGAGTAAATAAATTTTACCTTCAGTTTGTGTTTTCTTAGTAGTTGAATTTTTGGAACTGACTTCTGGGCTTACTTTTTTTTTTTTTTTTTTTTTTTTTTTAATGGGGGGGGGGGATGTACTCGTTTATGTATTTATCATTTGGATAGATTCACTTATCTCTGGTATAACAAAACTAAATCATGTAGAATAGTTGAAGACATAGGTTATTTAAAGTGGATACTAGAATGAATAGAAAAGGATTGCATTGACCAGAAAAATACGGAAGTACTGTTTTAAAAGGCCTGACAAGGATTGGTCAACTGATTAGATGACTTTGCTCGCCTGTCTTGATAATACTGATGTAGCAGTACAATGTGACAGGAAGCAGTAAGTCGATCAGTCCACCAATATTTCCATATAATACTTTCCGTTGACTTGACCACCCCCATGATCAAAAAGCTTTTCCCTTTATAGGTATTCAGTGCCTGCCTACAGGAGTCTACAAAAAGTTTCTCCTGTCGATTTTAAGTACCATTCCCCCACTCCATCGTGGGGGGGGGGGATTAGGAGACGATTGAAGGCCCAATGTAGGAATCCCCTTTCTGTCTAATCGCCCCTTTGTCCACATCGTAAATTGAGAGCCGTGTTAAAATATCTCCTAAAACCATTGAAATCTAAACATTGTCCCAATTGTTCTTGCCCCTTTTCACCACAATACTTAGTGCTACCCTTCTCACTACCATATTACCCTTTAGTACTGTTCAACCTCTTAACCCTAGTCATTAACTCCTAATCCCATTCTTTTTTATACGTTACCAGTGTGTTATGACCTTGGATGTCCAGCACATTTTTATAACCATTAACCATTTATCATGGTTCTCTATGGCCTTTGATGCCTGGCATATTTGTTTTTGACCATTAACCGCTCTGGGAATCCACCTGTGAACCAAAAATAGTAGTAGACGGACTTGAGGCCCAATGTGGGGGATTACCCCTACCTTGGACATCAGCCCTTGCCACAACTAATTCTACATGATCTTTTCTTTTTTTCTTTTTCTTTCTCCTCTTCATCCCCTTTTCCTGCCTACATCCTAGTGTGAGAGCCGTGCCGAAAGGGTGAAAAACTGGCTGTCAGATCTGAACGGCTTTCTTACTTTGTTTGCAATTTACTCTCTACCTTTTTTCCTTATCATACTAACCAACAGCGCTCTTCGCAGTCGTTATCTAACTCATTTTGTCCTAATTGCTGATTTAATTTTTACGTTCATCAATATTTTATGACCTATCCTTACCTGGGGGCTTCGTCCTCCAAGCCTCACTCTATTGCTATATTTTGTATACGCAGCTAATGAATGACCTTAGATGTTGACACGCCTGAAATTTTTCAGTAAATAAAAATATCTACCCCGACTGACTTCACTGGCAAACCTATTTCTGCCCAACCTCACTCCCTTAATACCTGTATCGGAACTGTTTGTTTCCCCGACTAATTGTCCTGTCTGCGACAAGGGCTGGTCAGACTATGAAACCTACCGCCTTACTTGCTTGTTGACTCTAATTGCAGTGACAGTACAGTGCTACACTATTCCTCCCAGAGGCTAGCGTAAAACCTACATCAATATTGCTAAGGTTAGCAAATGCAGACATGACCTTCATGAAATTCATATTAGATTTTCCATGTTCGATCGTATCGACTCCTTCCTCGTCAGTGTCAGAAATGGCGTTTTGGCCGCCTAGCCAAACACTGCCTATATGTTTAAATCTGAGGTAGTAGTGCTAAGATTCAAACTGGGCCTCACTCTACCAGACAAGAAGCACGGCGACGAGATTTTTTTTTCCAAAACTTCGCCCCACTCCATCTTCTCAATGTGTCTGCATATCCTCCGGTATATCTTCGCTCTATCCCTTACCATCCTATCTCTACCCCCCCCCCTCTCCCCTAATCGCATTCCATTTCTAATTTAAATCCAGATACTCCAATCTCCACCACTTCTCCAATGCCTAACCCTCCTTACTTTACCAGTTGCACCAAGCAATCTAAACATTACACCCCATCATCTACCACTTCCTCTCCTACACCCACTCCTTCCTCTATTTCTCTGACATCTGTTCCCTCTTCACCTTAAAGGAAAACTATTGTTTCTCAGACCGCTTCGCCAAACTTCCCTTCATAAACTTCAAGACATCCCAAACTCCCTAAGATGACGCAAAAGCATGCTCCGCTCTCTTATCCACCCTCCAATCTCTCAATTTCTCTTCCCTTTATATTCAAGTAATTACTGAGGTTCCACCACTCTCCCAACACACCCCATCATCATCTCCATGTGTTTCATACCCTCTCCTTTCCTCTTGGATGTCCACGTGATTCCCTCATGTCGCAAGTGACCTCTGGAT